AATTGTAGGGGGATACTCCGATGTCCATTTGACTGCTATTAATCTTCTAGCCAGAAACAGTAGCCTTTTTATTGCCAAAATGCTGTTATAATCTAGATAGTCAGAGTTGAAACCTCCTAGAATGCATGTTAATGGGTTAGTATCCACTATATTTCCATATATTCTATTTAAACATTCAGTCACCCCTGTCCAGTACCTTTTTAATTTTGGACATCTCCATAATAAATGAATAAGTGTGCCTTCCTGATGCTTGCATCTCGCGCAGTTTGGGTCTGTACGGGCCCCTATTTTGTATAAAAACTCCGGGGTTCTGTACACCCTATGTATAATAAATAATTGGGTTAATCTATGTGATAAAGAAAGAGACACATCCTGCACTCCTTGAAGTACTGCCCTCCATATTTCCTCATCAATTATGCCTGTATCCTCTGTCCAGCGCTCCCTACATATCAATGGAAATTTCCTTAGTTCCTTTTTTAAAAAACTGTAATACACCCAGGATGTTATCCCCTTAGACTTCTTAGCTTTAACTACCTGATCTATCAAGGGAGTTGGAGCAAAGCATGCTGCTGGAACCAAAGCTTGCGCACTCAACGCATGCCTTAGTTGCAAATATTGAAAAAACATTTTATTCTCCAATTGGTATTCTACTCTTAGTTGGTCATATGTCTTAAACACCCCCCCCGAGTATAGTTGCATTAATGAGACTATCCCGAGTTTATCCCAGTTACAAAAACCCTGTAATGTACCATAATTAGTTCAGGCAGTTGATCATTTGCCCTCAAGGGAGTGTAGTTAGTGTATCCTTCTATATCCATAATCCTTTTGCTCAGTCCCCATATTTTGTTTTTCAGTTTCATTGAGGGTATCCCAGGCCCCTTCTTTATATATGCCTGAGTTTCTAATGCTATTAATTGGTCTACCCCTTCAAACATACTTGCCAAAACTTTATATGAGGAATTTGTTGCCCCATTCAAGTCCCATCCCATAAAGTGTTGAAATTGCGCTGCCACAAAATACACCCATGGGTTTGGGACTACTAGCCCACCCTGATCACTGGGATGTTGTAAGTATTCTAACCGAATCCTTGGATTCTTCCCCTTCCATATAAGTTCTCTAAACAGGGTAGTAATGAACTTAAAAGTTCTATTTGTTCTACCAGCAATAAATATAGTAGCTGGGGCATCCAAATCATTTTTAAATGGTTAGTCCGGCCTGCTACTGACAACGGGAGTTTACATCCCAGTCTTAGTCCGTAGGGTTTAATATTGAATTGGCCCACCCTTTGCCGCTATAACAGCTTCAACTCTTCTGGGAAGGCTGTCCACAAGGTTTAGGAGTGTGTCTATGGGAATGTTTGACATCAGCACATACTGATGTGGGACGAGAAGGTCTGGCTCGCAGTCTCTGCTCTAATTCCTCCCAAAGGTGTTGTATTGGGTTGAGGTCAGGACTCTGTGCAGGCCAGTACAATTCATAATTAATAAATGTGCATATAGATTATTATTCCAAACAATGTCTAAACATGATCAATCTGTAAAACAAATGGTCAGTGCATATATCAATATAAAAGCTTATACACTTGGTAAAATGTGCACACAAAATATAATAGTGTCCATAAAAACAACATGTGTTGTTTTAAATGTCTTTTAAAATGGTGAAATTTCAACAAAATGTTTCAAAACAAACTTCAACCTCTGAGGTTCTGATGAAGGGGGCGTGACCTCTGAAACACGTAAACCCGTGGAACACTTGGGGGCAGAGGACTCTGCTGTATCATCTTCTCTCCAGATTGTCTCGGTTTGTGATTTCGTACACCCATCGCTGTTTCATGCCTGAATTCAATATTCCTTTGTAAGTACAGTCCTAACTGTCTTCTTTTTTACATTAAATACCGTTTCACACTATGGAGGCCCTCCGTTTTTTTAATGTTTCCTAGATAGCAGATTACTAGGAAGGGATCACCCATATAGTGATTCTCAATGCATTTCGGTATCATGGGTAACTTCTTTTTCAAGACAAGTGGTAAATGTAAATGTATACCAATGTTGTTCAAATTAAAAAAAAATGTATCGAGTCTATGGTGTCTCAGTTTCATCTCTCGCATTCAAATGCCCTCAGGGGAGCAACTGGGGACCACAATAAGACTGCACATCCTGAGAAGCACTTCACTCTTTTGTTCACCATCAGTATGGTTATATCAAGCAGATAAAGCTAAAAACCTAATGTTGTTAGCCCAAAAGGATGATGAGCCATATCTTGGGAATTGTATGAAAGAACTTCCAGGGAATAAGTTCTCTTTTAAATGGAGCAGTCATCTCTCTCTGGTTGCAGTCAGAAAAAGTGGGTCCACAAATTCAGGGAAGTGTCACCAGGGCAAACTAAACAGGGTTTTGGTAAATCTGAAAAAGATTGTACAGCACTTGTACAATCTGATGGTACCATCTGTTTACAATATGTGGCATGTTTCTGTATTATGTTTCTGTTTGCAGAAGAGATTGCCTATACAGAACAGGGAGCAACATGTAAAATTTGTTTCCTAATTTTGAAAATATGGCAAAATGATGCACATGATGAGCAGTATAAGACTTTGTGAAACCATTTAGATAAGCCAATCACCATAGTGAAATTAAAATATATATTAGTTGTTTTAGTTACATGACTGAAGGTGTGAATTGTAATGATGAACAAATGTTCCTGGGTTTGATTCGCAAATCCTTTGTAAAACTCATCATAAATTCTGGAAATCGCAAACTTTAACCTGAACCCCATTGAAGTCATGGGGGAGTTGAATCTTGAAAATCAATTCTAGGCTAATAAGCCAGGGAGTGACTAACAAAGGACATGGGGAGTTGGCCACTGCTCTAGGGGACATGTTTCTATCCCCCAAAAATACTTTTTTTTAAAGTACGGTTTAGTAGGCAGAGGGGCCTCCTTTTATGTGATTTCAAAGGTGATATCAGATAAACAGGACAATTCTCATAGACAACATCAGTTACACTGCATGCTGGCATCGCATAATTTGCATGTGTAATACATAGTTATACTTTTATATTATTGCTTGACTTTAATATAGTAGCAGCATTTTTATAACTTTCTTAGGTGGTTGTGGATGCAACAACCATGTATTCCAAAAGTATTCAAAATATAGACTTCAGGTATATGTTTAGTAGGAATTGGCTAGTATCAGGACAGTACTTAAGCACATGAATAGGCAGCAAATGGAAAGAGCTCTGTAGTGTGAGCTTCTTTTAATGTATCTGTTGCCAACAGCACCGTTGTGGTCTGCAGCCTCTGCTTGTTATCTGTGGTTAAAATACCAGCCATTTGGATACCAGATGCATTAGGAAACACATGACTTTGCACCAAAGAGCTGCGAAGGAAAATCACCTCAGTGAGAGTACTTCAGCAGCTAAAAGCTCACACCAAGTGGGATTCATTTACTAAAGGCAAATAGGCTGTTCATTTTGCTAGGGCATTTTCCTTAGCTTAGTAAATGTAAAAATCCCTTTGCAAAGTAATATCAAATCATGTGCAAGTAAAAGAAAAAAAACACAGTATTTTGCTTGCACATGACTGTATGGTGGAAGTCAGCAGAACTTCACCTCATTCACTAAGCTAAGGGAAAATTCCCATGCACAGATAACAGCCTATTTGTAGTTAAGAAAATGAACCCCTGTGTCAGGACAAGGTTTTTGAACACCCAAGGTTGAAAGACAAAATTATGCTCCTCCCTTCCATGAGTTGTGAATTAGTTCAGCATGTCGCCGCACTTGTATTCAATTGAAACTACAAGTACCTTTGCGGCAGTGGCTGATGGGACTTGTATTTTCTCCATTCATAGATCACATACAGTATATTTCCTCTGGCTACCAATGTTGCATTCTTCTCTGTTGCTGACCACCAATGTAAGAAGGCATAATTCTTACCACTGAACAACAATAAAAGGAGGTGTTTTTTTTATCCCCACTGAACACCAATGTAACAGGGTGTTCGTAATAGAAAACTCTTTAAGGGGGCATTTTTACTTTTGACTTCCACTGACCCCCAATACAACAGGTATTTTTTATTGACCACCAATCAAAAGGTGGTATTAACACAAAACACCAATGTAATGGGGGCACTAACAACCACCACCAGTGTAACAGGGCATTTTTACTCAGCACTAATGTAAGATGGCACTGACACTGATCATACATGTAATAGGTCATTTACACTGACCATCATTGTAACATGGACATTAAAGCTGAACTCCAAACAATCAGATAAATACACAGCTAAAATCCATATATGAGAGCTGCTTTACCAGCCAAAGGATTTATATTTCTGTCCATTTACTTCTGATATTTAAATAACTATTCTACACAGTACACCCCAGTCACGCAACACAGGAGATCTGATTTTGCTCTGTTGCAATTAAATAATACAGCTTTTCCCTCTCATGAAAAGGCAGTGAAAGAGAAGCAGTAACTTGATTAGCTTATCTCTCTGTCATTGTGCTCTTTCTTCCTATCAGCATGCTCCCTGTTGGTACATAAGCATTGCAGCACAACTAACTGGCTTCAACTTTCTGTTGTCCAATGAAAGCACAGACCAGATAACCTCACCAGGTATTAGGAACATGTCAATGGAACTCAGAGCTTCTGCTCATAAAGCGGCAACTTGTTAGATGCATACATAGATGCAGGGGCCAAAACACTAGCCACTAGCCATAGACCTCCAAGTTTATTGGTGTTGGTTTGAGCTAGGCTCCGCAGACAAAGAAAGCACATGGGGTAACAGAGCCCTGCGATCATCTGGTTGATGGTTTACATGTACTGATTAAATAGACTATATACAACCTGGACAGTCCTTGTTAGCAATCTAGTTTATGGTTCCACTGTTTGAAGTTATGCAAAGGAAAACTGAAGCTGTGCCTAAAGAATGGCAGGTAGAGAGCAAAGGGCTAGACACCAGTATTGCTTGTGGTCTCCCTAGAGCTGATTTTTACCAATTACAGGCTTACAATGCCTTGGTCCACACTGTGTTTTTGTGCTGGGATGACCATCTTAGAACAGAGGCTACTTTTGCTCATGCTTCCTCATGTTAGAGCCTCCTGAGCAAGCACAGTGGTGACATCACAATATTTTAACTCAAAGAGTAAACTCGAGACTAGCAGTCAGAGGCAGTGGTGTCTTAATCTCACACTTTAAAAAAAAGTATTTTGTGGGTTGTATTCAATTAACATCTACAATAGAGAAAGCATGCTGCACCTGCAAATGTATTTTCCTCTGTAGTGGAAGATTTCATATTTTAACCACAATTGAATCAGCTCTCTAGCCACAGTATCACATGCTGTACAATACCACACAATATATGGCAATAGTGTAATCATCAAAACCATTTCAACACTGTAAACTGTACAATGGCATTCTTATATGCACATCTCATAAGCCTGTTCTTGACTTGTAAGTACAGTATATTAAATAGTTTCTCTATGCCTAACCAGTATAGAGTTTGGGGGTTTCTGTTGTTTGGGGGGTTTTTTTAAAATAACTTATGGACATGTTCTCCATAAAAAAGAATCTTTGAGAATTACCTATCATGTTGGAAACCATAAAGTTTGTGATTGCTGATTTTGTTGCCTGACTGTAAAACTGACCTGTTGCTTTAAAATGGTTTTGTGTAAATGTTAGGTCTGGTGCTAGTGAAATGGGGGGTACGTGTTCAGCAACAGGTAAGGGTTTAGGCAACTGCCAAGGACAAATAAACAGATAACTTCTGACTTGTCCGTGTGCCCCGGGTCAGTGAAAATGCTCTTCATAAGGAGGTCAGCAGTGGCGGGCCCTGTATTTATGACAGATAACTATGTTGCCTTACATTACGTATGTCAGGTATAATATTTGTTCTTCTAAACCAGATATTTGGCACAATGTTGTAATTTCAGCGTAATCTTCTGAAATTGTAAACAGTTTGGAATTATCCAGCAAAGCAAGTATCCATATTAATACAACTACCTCATTGGTATTACAAATTTAGGGTTACAGTAAGGTAATCTAGGTTTTTTTTCCATTGTGTTTATTTTACATGCACATAATTATTTTGAAAACATTAATGTAAAAATAATTATGAAAAAAGTGCCATAACCCACAGCAAACTATAATTTTTCAGATTTCAGTATAGCTTCATTTCATTCGGAAAAATGAAAAAGGCAATTGCTGGTCACTATAGGTTACTTTGTGGAATATGTGTGCCTTACATTGCAATATCTTTTTTCATAACAGGAAAGATCCAACAAAAGTACCTGCCAAAGAATGTCAACACTTTATGTTATACCTAATTATACCTTTAAATCTTAGTAGTGTTTTACGATATTTCAAATTCAGCTTTTTCTTTATATATTACTAATGGAAGCAAAAAAAATTATATTTTCCAGATGCATATGCAGCCATCTCAATTGACCAACCCTTAATTTCACTAACTGTAACTAAAGGAAAATCTGCCATGTTGACTTGCAACACTATGGATGTTGACCTGGAAAAAAGACCACTTCACTGGTATCGACAGAAATCCGATGAAGGATTGGAAAGTATCCTCTACATATTTGAAGGAAAAGCCAATTACAGACAAGGGTTTAGTAATGTCAAGTATCAGGCTGGTTATATTTCAAGTTTGACAATAAAGAATATAAATGAGGAAGACAGGGCTGTGTATTACTGTGCCTGCTGGGAAACAAGTCACAGTAACTCAACTTAAGAGACACTTCATACAAATTCTAACATACACAGGATAAGGCATTTGAGCATGCAGCTCAAAAGAAAACTTAATATGAAAAATATTTAATGAAAAACTAGGAGAAATTAGCTGGGATTACTAAGACGGTTATTCACAAAAGAGCCGAAGTATCCAGCCTTAGCTTTGGAAGGGGCCGCCCCCCCCCC